TGTTAAGAATAAAAAAAATATGTTTGAACATTTAAAATTTCTTTTTGTTTCGTTTTTTCTTCGAACTCAATCAAAGTGTCACGCACTAAAAGAGCGGTTTGATTCCTGTCAACCTGTCGCGCGTGAGAGATCTGTTCGTACACGGCAACACAACAATCATAAATCCCGATTGACCGACCTATAAGGGGTCATTCACTCTTTTATACTACAAAGTTAACTGGATAGCATGGAGCCAAAAGAGAGTTCCACAAGCAAGAAAAGAAACTTTTAGCATAGAACTGACGGTTACATCTAGCAGCCAATTCAACTAGAAATTAATGAGACCTTATTGCCAATCAAGTACCGCGCTCAAGTTCATAAAGTCTAGGTACCATAGCGAAGAGCTCACTTGAAAAAATTACCATGAAAGTATTTATAGAAAAGGCACAGGGATGCAATTTTATGTCGAACGTACGGGAAAATAACTGAAGCCGAACTGCCATATCAGGACTAATAATATTGCTGATTCTTCTTTGGATTTTTATCAATAATCTCCAAATATACAGCAGGACAGTGCACTATACGTGGCAGCAATATTCAAAGGATGAACAAATGGTAGACTTATAGATATCTAGGATCGGGCACCCCAAGGCGGTGTAGTGGTTAACCAGCTTGTCTCGTTAAAACAATTACGACTGAGTAGTGAGATCGATCCTCACTGGGTGCTCCATACTTTCGGCCTTGTGCCACATCTAACCTACGCTTGGAAAATCATTTGGGGCACCTCGGAGTGGTGTAATGGTTAGCAAGCTCGTCTCGGTAGAACAATTACGACTGAGTAGTGAGTTCGATCCTCACTGGGTGCCTCATACTTTCGGCCTTGTGCCACATCCAAGCTATGCTTGGAAAACCACTATAGATATCTAGGATAGACACTGGAGAGAAAAATTGTAGAGCACGACTCGATGAACCAATATTCTTAGCAGCTGACCTAGCAATAGATTCAGTACAGTCCACTTCATGTCAGTGTTTGCATAATATAACCTGACAACTGCAAAGGAGTTTGCTATGAAGATATTTTTTTTTAAAGGAGGAAAACTGAAATTGATATATTTCTCTTATAAATTAAATGACATCCTCAAACTTTTATAAATATTTGTTGGTTAATGCCGAATTTATTGCGAGGAAGTTGATATGTGGTATAAAATCTGTACTGCTCAGATTAAGCAGTGTGACTCTATGACAAGGCACTCACGTTGATTTGCCAACTAACATGCAGTTTTGGAAATGTGTGGGCGCACTCTGTTATCGAGGCCAGGTCATGTATAGCATCTGAAAGGTCATCATAACAGCCAGAAACAAGCCAAATATATCAACCTGCCTCATCGTCCTGTCGGCAATACCGGCAGTTTTTTTTTTTTTTGCAATAAGGTTTGGTGCAGCGGATAAATGAGTTAGTTAGATCCAGTGACAGGACCCAAAAGAGTGTGAGTTCAATAAGGCGGTGGAGAACTTGGAGAGGGGAATTATCAGGAGATAACTGATAACTGACATCTGTTAGTCATGGCACGTGGAACTAGAACAGTCTACCCCTGTGAGCGAAATAAAGGGTTTAGTTCAACAAACCACATGAAGAAGGCCGGAGCGTACAACGTCCGAAACGTTGTGATAAATATGACGACAAAGATGAGGACAATAGTCCGAATAATGTAAATAGGGAAGGTTTGCAGATCTGGACTGAAGAGGCACATCGGGTTACCCAAGAGAATTGTTGGGCATGCAAATCCGAACAACCCAATCAAGGATACAGGTTTTATTCATCATATATGACTGATACCCATGAAATCAAATGCTGGTCTCGAGTCATCTTAGTGGCCATCGACGACGTGAGATGTGAGGGGTGGGCAGCTCTCATTTAAGATGCGGCAATCAGGATCTATCTATCTATCTCATTCCTATCTATCTATCTATCTATCTATCTATCTATCTATCTATCTATCTATCTATCAGTACTTTGAATATCTATTTATCTACCAATGTATCAGTCTGTACAAAATTATCTATCTATCTATCTATCTATCTATCTATCTATCTATCTATCTATCTATCAGTCCTTTGAATATCTATCTACCAATCTATCAGTCTGTACAAAATTATCTATCTATCTATCTATCTATCTATCTATTAACTTATGTAGAACTGTATGCGTGTATGTCTTTTACCAGAGCTCAAATCAAAATTTAAAGTGACTTCTTGATGTTACCGGTCTGGAGGAGGTAATCTCAACGTGCGGCACCTTTGGAAAGGGACTAAAAAACCATACCACAGGTTGACCCAAGCCTTGTGAGTGAAATTGGGTAGATGTAACTCTTTGGAAGCCGTCGAGGAGTTTGCTTGCACGAAGTTACAAGTCATCGTGACCGAGGGTTTGAGCGTGCTGGCCTTGTTCAGACTGTTGATCACCGCAGATAACGCTCTCTCTCTCTCTTTCGCTCTCTCTCTCTCTCGCTCTCTCTCTCGCGCTCTCTCTCTCTACCAGAAACTGTAACTAAAGTCCGCTCAGCATAGTTATAAAATCAACCACAGGTCAGCGCTGTGTGTGTTGAACAAATGCAAATGTGTCTGAGCACCTGTTTGCAAAAGGGATTGGCTAGACAGGCATTATCGTATACGGGCGGCCAGCCATTATGTATCTATGTATATAATTTTGTTTGTGTTGTGTCATCAAAGCCATACTGTATAGATGATTAAACTCTCTCATATACCAATTATACGTGTTATATTGTCTAATTAAGATTTCAATGCTTTATACAGCTATTTTTAGTGTGAATTTTTACAGTTATTTTTTACGGTTATTTTCATAGTTATTTTTAGAGTGCGATGCAAAATTTTGTCTTCTCAGTCTTTTGCTAAAAAGCTAAATGGCATTGTTTGGGCGCTGGATGATTATTCAACCCCAAGCACCCACCAATACGGTACTAAAAACATCATCGTCTAGATCGAGGTGTCTTAAGTAATTGTTGTAGTATACCTACGGACGATAATGGCTATGTCCCCATGCTCATAAATACAGTAGTAAATACTGTATGTTGGTCTGCAGTTGAAGATTCGTCTCCAGCTGTGCTGGTCAAACTCTTTGCCTTTGGCCAGAGAGGATCCCCAGACGAGGCTATGTCGAAGAGCAGAGTCTCGTCTCGGGAAATAGCTACCCGACCTCGTTTTATACAGGATATACGGGGAATTTTTGCCTGAGCTTACGGGCTCGGATACCCCACATTAAATTCGGCCTTGTGCCACATCTGACCGCGTGGGGTGGTTGGTAGATATTCTGCAGTTGAAGATTCATCTCTAGCTCTACTGTTCAAACACTCTGTCTCTGGTCAGAGAAGATCCCCAGGCGGGGCTATGTGGAAGGGCAGAGTCTCATCTCGGGAAACAGCTACCTGACGCCGTTTCAAAGGGGTATACGGGGAATTTTTGGCCGAGCCTACGGCCTCGGATACCCCACATTAAATTCGGCCTTATGCTTCATGTGACCGCGTGAGGCGGTTGGTAGATATCCTGCAGTTGTAGATTCATTGTGGAATTCACTTGACTCATTTCTAGCAGTTGACTACTTCTTCTACGCGCTGCTAGCGAATCTTATATGCGTTGTTCGTATCCTAAGTATTATCGTTCATTACCAACCTTCGTGTGATTATTATATTCAGCAACCTTCCCTAGGTTACAACAGTAATTATATTTTGTTGTTGGCAAACTAAATAGTCCACAACGTCGTATTTTTATTTGTGAGCTTTCAAATTCTCTACGCTAAATCATCAACATTGAATCCCATTTTCTAGCAAACTGCTTCTGCCTTTTATAAAATATAGAAGATATTGCCTTTCTCCCGAATGTTTTTATTTTATCTCTTCCGTAAACATTAAAAAATCTAGATATTATCCAGGCTCGGCGTTGCTTAACATCAGTGGTTGCAAGAAAACAAGTAATTATTACGTATATTATACGTACTGTTGGCGGTATTTAGACTGTGTCTCACGCAAAGAAATAACATCACTCCATAATGGGCCACCTTCCACGTGGATACCAATGTTTACCTTTCTGTCTCAAGTATAAACTGGACCTCCGTCTAACATTTTGACACTAGTGTAAACCTGGTCTCTATGTTCACCTATTTCACTTTAGTGTAAGCGGGACCTCTATGGATTCTAGAGTGATACAATTAATTTCACCTCGGAATTAATTTAAACTCGGAACTAATTTCAACTCGGAATTGATTTCAACTCGGAACTAATTTCACCTCGGAATTAATTTCAACTCGTAATTAATTTCACCTCGATTTAAAATCAAAGTTATCAATTTCCGTGAATTCCTAAACAAAATACAATGAGTTGGTGTTAATTTTTTAACTTAACATTAAAAATCCTTAGTAGATAATTCAGAATTCATCTTTTGTGCAACTTTCATTCTTTTCTGTTGCAAATGAATGAATAAATAAATAAATGAATTGATACTTTTTTATCTACTTTTGTTCATTTAAATCTAATCCAATAAAAATGCAATGTTCTTTGTAGCAAGAACAACAGATTGCTTAGCTGTTTTTTTTTTTTTGTAAAAAATCTCTCGTTCAAAAATAGCCGTTACTGATCAAAATTTAAGAAAATCAATAAGTTAAATTTTAATTTTGTTTGAAAGCTTCACAGATTCATTGAAATTTAAATGCGTACAGAGGATTTCACAAATTTCACATTTGTAAATAGAGAACTCTATTACAAATTACAATGTAAAAAAATTAAATAATTTCAAAACATGATATGAAGCTTTGTGCTATGCTGCACAATTAGATTTTATTCTAAAAAAAAAAAAAATTCGATTGCGTGCTCCGAGTTGAAATTAGTTCCGAGTTGAAATTAATTCCGAGTTGAAATTAATTCTGCACCCCGGATTCTAGTGTAAAACAGGACGTATATCTACCTTGGAACCCGGCTTCCTATTTCCAATTCAGAGCCATTACAGCCACGCTTACAGCCCCTGGCATTTCCAAGCGGTTACCAAACTAGGTAGTGAGAGCGCTCGACGTTGCTTAACTTCGGTGATTCTACGGGAACTGGTGTTTCAATGTGATATAGCCATAAACAACGAAACCAGGAAAATGAACATAGGTCAGCGTCGAAACCATTTTGCTTTTTCTTGATCCACAAAGACGTTTTGGGACAACCGTGTACGTAGCGATCAAAAATGGATTCACAGTGAGTATCGAAAACAAAGAAAATTATGACACGGTCCAACTAGTATCTGCACTAACTTTTCCCCACATAAAAAAAACAGGGAAGAATTTTGTTTGGAACACTCTTTATAGATAAGCATTCATTAGACTTACTCTAGCCACGACATTTGCTAGAATTGAAAAAAAAATATTGATTTGTTTTGAAATTTTAGAAGGCGGGAGAGATTCCTGCTCATAATATAAATAGAGCATCAAATTGAACCCTGATTTCTTAAACAGTTATCTGTAATTTATTATTATTTACAAACTTATGTCAAATGTGCTGACGTCATTGATAACTGCGTACTGCTATAAATTGGGAAAACGGAAAGCATCAGTAGTACGCAGTAATCAATAACGTAAGCACATTTTAGACAAAGTAAATAAAAAACAAAGAGCAGGTAACTCTTTAAGAAATCAGAGATCGATTTAACACAGTATTTACATTATGAACAGGAAGCCCCTAGTAAAATAATAAAAAAACTTTTTCGATTCTTACAAATGTCGTGGGTACAGATAAATTTAATGAATGCTAATCCACAAAAATTATAACCCACAAAATTTTTATTCAGTATTTTACGAACGGACCAGGTAACCTAAGTAGTTCTATGGATTCTACTCGGGTGGGTTCTGTTGCCTGTGTTTGGCGAGGAAGCAAAAAGAATTCGGCAAACTGGGACCTTCGTGCCCGTAAAAAAATGGAGTGTCAAAAGGACTGTTTTTCCGTTGACATCGCTATTATTTTAACTACCTTCCATCCTTGGCAATGTTTGTTGTTTTAAAACAACGATAATGCTACATCTCTGTCGCTTCAAATTTTTTTTCTTCATATATAAAGCGATTTGCCAGCATTCACTGCTATATGTGAAATTAGATATAAAATATTTTATTGTTCACCATGCTTTTCTTTGTTACTAAAGACATTTTCCTATCTAATAATACTTTGCTTTTTTTTTCTCTTTTTTAATCATTTCACTCAAAGCAAAGCAATAAAGCCACTAAGACATGAGGGGGGGTTACTGAGTGTGAAAGAATATACGAAAAAGAAAAACATTATTAAAAAGCGAATTCAATAAAAGAGCAGAAATTAAGAAGACAGAAGATAACGATCGACATTACATTTAAGAGAGTTCCTCCAGCGATAAGTGTGAGAGAAGAAACTGTTAGCATAGAACCTACAGTTACATCTAGCCATTTCAACTGCAAAAATGATGAGTTTCGGAAATGTTTCTTGTGCTATTCATCTGCGTTTTACGTTTTCTGCCTGCTATTGTTCATTTTGATGTCCCAAATACGTAGCTCACAGTTTGTGTACCAATTACTAAATTTGAATAGGCATATAATGATGGCGCCCCTCAAAAGTAACTCGTAAATTAAACCATCATGGCGGAAATGTGGAGATCGAAAAATGATAATAATATTGCTGTATGGTTTATTTGGTGACGCTGTATGGTATACTGGTGACGCCTTCGTGGCTCTTCGTTATAGATATGAAACAGTTCAAAAGAATAAAGATTGGGAGTTCAGATCTCACCGGAGGCGTATTCCTTATTTCTGACCCATGCTGCTAAATTAACGATCATGAAATATAAAAATGGCGTTTAAACGTCGTGATAAGAAGCAAAATAAATAAGATGAAAGATGAGTAAAAACATTAATAATTATGACAATGCTTCATCTCAGAAACTCAGATAGCTCCAGACTGTTACGTCTTATTACTACTCGGTATAATCAAGCAACAGAAATAAAACGAATAAAAAATTGATATAAATGACAATGCTTCATCTCAGAAATAAATCCAATCTAAGCTTTCGGCTTACACAAGCCATTATCAAAGATGACAATTTCAATAAATCAAACAACACACGGACGTAACAACAATGATAGTCCACCACTGCTGCATGAAAATTTCTAAGTAATGAAAAACTCGTATATACGAGACGCGGAAGCGAAAATTGCGTCGCCGCTCTTGACGTCACACATAGGCCGAAAGCTTAGATTGGATTTAAACATGTATCAATATGGTGTTTTTCTTTCGTCTTTCAACGATAATGTGATTAAGCTTATCAGACAATATGAAAGGAACTTAATTAAAATAAATAGACAAAACCTGTTTATATTATTTAATGAAACATGCATTAATATATATATATATATATATATATATATATATATATATATATATATATATATATATATAGGGAACAGCGGACCAAATATGACAACAATATTCAATGCACTAGCGAGAAAAATTGTCTGGCACGACACAGTTAACCGATTTTCTTAGAAGCGAACTTAGTAATTGCTTCACTATAATTACTCCAGAACATGTCAGTACAAAACGTTAGAACAAGAAGACACAAAGAGTTGTTGCTCTCCTGGAGATTAACATCAGTCATGCTGATGGGAAACAAAATATTCCTCTATAATAATTAAACGGATTCGTTTTTGGAGGCGTTAAAATTTACAAGTCATTTCTTGCCCCAATTAACAAGTGATTTGAAGTCATTTGTCGAGATCAGCTGCCAGTTTTACTTTATCGGACCTATTAGACTTACTATTAAGACAGGAGTAAATAGTTGTCTCATCAGTATAAATACAGAGTAGAGAACTGATAAAAGTCGTTGATGAAGGTAAGAAACAAAGTAAGTCCCAGGTTAGAGCCCTGGGGACCCCTGCCTTAAGATGAAAGGACCTAGAAAAGTGGCCATGCAAGTTGACTTTCATTACACCATCTGTTAGAAATGATTGGATCAAGTCAAATATTCGACCAGAGACATCATAGCCCTTCAGCTTGTTAAGAAGGCCAGTATGCTAAACCCGGTTAATCGACTTCGAGATATCTAAAGCCACAACCGTATCCTCGCTGTTCTTAAGCGTGATAGATAAATTCACAAAGTCTTTCAAGGTGACAAACTGGTAATCTTCTAGTTCATTATATATGTCGGTTATGTGTTGCGGACTTTTGCGTTCACCATCAAGGAAAATGGTTTTACTCTTGAAAAGAAACAGAAGATATTAAGTAAAAACTATCGCAGATGCGGATTATACTAAGAACATTGAACTCTTTGACGATAAAATCGTTCGAGCTTGATCAATATTGTACAGTCGAGAGGAATCAGCTAGAGGAATTGGTCTTTATGTAAATGCAGATTTCAATGTGCTTCAGTCAACAAGACTCCATCAATTCCCTGCCAGGCAAACAATTAAAAATAGTCGATCTGTTCATCTATCCTGGAAGTAACATTTTTATCCCTAAAAGTCGTGTGAACATTTCCAATGGGAAAGTTTGGAACAGTGATGAACAGGCCGTCAATAATATATTCCATACTTCCTCAGAAACTGTGCCACGTAACCCTTTACCTCGAGTGGTTCTCCGGTCTTTTACAGGATGAAAATCATTGTAAAAAAATGTATGATAATAAATGACACGAGACTTCTTCCAAGCTATAGCCGTATTTATGATAGCACAGGTACGGACTTTGATAAAACAACTGGAAAAGAAGAGAGGTGACACGTGCTCGAGAATGATACGTGTTGCACCGAATCTATCCTAGAAAAAGCACACCACAGAAAGAAAAAAAACAACTCTATGGCCATCTACCTCCCACGTCATTCGGAAGAGAACAAGATTTACTGTTGATAACACAAATATAATAGCATCATCTACATGCAAAAAAGACTAAAAATAATGGAAGCCTTATTAATTAAAACAAAAAAAAATACTCAATAATATCAACTATGAACATGGACACAATATCTTGGCCGTGTTTTGAAAATAAACCATTCTATAATGCTGAATACATATATATTACAATCCATTTTCAGTTAACTGTAAATATAATTCATCCTTGATAATGGCTAAAAGTATAGCCGAAAACGCTCGGAAAAAATAAAGCATTTGAAGAGTTTTTTTTATAATATATCTACGGAAAAAAAAAAAAATTATAAGACCATATGAGAAATTATATAAAAAACTTAATCGAAGCACCTTGTCTGTCATATTTAATGAAGCTTGCACACACACACATACATATATATATATATATATATATATATATATATATATATATATGCGTGTGTGAATGTGTGTAAGTGTTTGGGTGTCTCAGTGTGAAATTGTGACAGATAGATAGAAGATAGATAGATAGATAGATAGATAGATAGAGAGAGAGAGAGAGAGAGAGAGAAAGAAAGAGAAAGAAAGAGAGAGACAGAGAGAGTGGTGAAAGAATATGTGAGAGTATGTGTGAGAGGTAAGTAGAGAATATGAAAGGAGATCAGATTTTAGAGAGATTTCCTTAGAGTTTTGGTTCGCAAAATGTTTCGCTTTTTCTCTCCCTGCAAGGTTCTCTGTAGAGATTACTATATACTAAATTCATGCATATTGGATGTAACATCAAAATTGTCGACATCACGTAACAGCAAGCGATAATTGTCCATCCCAGAAAATGTTTAATATGTAAAAAAAAAACACACAATCTAATTGATTTTCTTTTTTTTCCAGGTTTTCAGATAAGACGTTTAGCCATCTTTACACCATTTTTTTTTGTAAGAATCAGAGAAAAACACTTTGATTTATTCAGGTAGAAAGAGAAAAGGTTAAAATTATTTTGTGTCAGCTACTATATCTCTCCAACTGAGCAATGGTGAGAGGATAAAGATCATCCAGGCCTTCAGTAATGGTACCAACATTCATACAGAGAGAACGGTGAATAATTTTAAAAAAAAGATGAAAACTGGATCAGGAGGTTACAACAGGAAGAGGGGTCATCATTTCAACTTAGAGCTAAATACATTTTTGTTGTTCAAAGTAGAGTTCAATAGTTATAAAAGCCTCGGAGAATTCCAGTAAGATATCTTTAATC